TTTGGTGACTGCAGTCACTTTATTATCTTCAATCCCTACAGCCTGATCATTCCTAACTCTATGTCTGTAGCCCCCTCTCCTGGCTCCGGATGTGGGTATCCACTGCCCCTTGATGGCCAGCAGTGCCAAGGGATTGCAGACAGCACATGGTCCTTATGCATCCCACAGTGGTGCAGATCATAATCCTGAAAGACACAATGCTGACTGCCATAATCCTGAAGGTTGAAATCCCCAAAGATCAAAATCCCTAAAGTCTAAAATCCCCAAAATCACAATCTTGGGAGATTAAAATTCTGAACACTGAAATCCTGAAGGCTGAATTCTGGAGAAGTGATGAGTGTGTTTTGGTAGTATTCGTGTGTTTTTGGCAGTTGCACCATGTTAGTTCCATCATGTTAGGTGGAACTTTTACCTTGATATTGTCTTTATGTGGAAATTAAGTAAAGTTTAAGGAGATGTGTATGGGTGTCAAGTTGACAAGGGGTAGACTTGTGGACTTCATTTTAGGTGCCTAGTTGACTAAGCTAAGAAATACCTAGAAATACTGGTAAGGCATTAAGTCTTTGGGGATTATGGCTCAACCGCCTTATAGACCCCCTTCTCTTCCCAAACATCCACAATTTGCTCACCAGAGTCGGATCACCAGTATCCCTCAACTCTTTCCCCTATTAGGGTGCCCCCCAGCCACAGGTCCCCAAGGCCTGCTGAACAACCTTTATATTTCAGGGTTTTTTTATCCCATCCACTGCCATAGGGCCCTTTCCCCTTTTCATCAAGAGAGTTATAATAACTTTCTGTAAGAATATCTCTATGCTTAGCCAGAGCACCCTTGCCCCAACCTATTCTCCAGTATAACCAGATCAAGATGTAGATTTAATCACAATATCCCCTGCTTTGAGCCCCATAATGCCCCATCATGTATAGCGGTGATGACCATCATAATTAGCAATTAGTCCGGTTTTTCTGGGTGCCAGGACCCCCAAGGTAGTCCATCCTTAATAGCTCATTCAATCCTCACAACACCTGAAGAAGAAAGTACTGTTATTATTCTCATTTTAGAGATAAATAAACTGAGGCACAGAGAGTTCACTTGGCTATTAAGTGTTAGAGTCAGAATTCAAATACTTGTCCATTTCATCATCGCTGGGCTACACAGCCTCTCAAACGGTTGTTATTTCTTTTAACAGAAGGGCCCTTTTGATTTTCAAACAAAACCTCACATGAAATCCTGAAACCATATACAAAACTGATGAAAGTGAAGGGGAGGTGAAGGAAGAGGAGAAACCAAAGGACCAAAGCCAGGGACTTAGTGTCTCCTTCTCTTTTGTGGGCCCCGAGACCCCTTTTGGGAACCACATGGCTCTACGAGGCTGAAGTCTAGCTTCACTGACCTCACAGTTCAGAAGTCAACCCCAGACCTGAGTTCCTGGGATTGGCAAAGGATCAAGGCGCTGTGGTGGAGGATAAATGCACTCAGAGATTGTATGTAAGAGTGGGAAATGGTACCAGGGAGCCACTGGTGGGTGAGGATGGTGGGATCCCAACAAGAAAGGGAGGCAAATAACTCAGGTGTAAGAGAGATGAGCCCCAGGATGGACCAGGGCTCACAATACCAGGTGAAAGTGTACTCACTACAGCAGCCCAGACAGGCAAGGTCTTCAACTGTCTCTTGCTTCTCAGAGCCTGTCCCTCCTGCCTGGGACCCCTTCCTTCCTGCTCCCCCTGGCCAAGGCTTCCCCACACCTCAAGACACCTCTTCTGTGCAGCTTCTTCAGGCAGACCTTTTCCTGACTGTGCAGGGCTGAGTTCATCTCACACTCCTCTGTGCTTCCCATAGTGCTGCAAACCCAACCTTTATGGTGTCTCCCGGCCACCATCTTTTGTTTACAAACTTACCCAGACCCATCTCATCAGAATCACAGCAGCTGGGTACAGGCAACCACATCTCTCAAAGTTCCCCAGGCAGAGAACCTCAAGCACAAATGCGAGCACCTCCAAGCAGAATCCTTAGCCTCCAGCTCCACATGTTTGATGATGGCATGGGGGTACAAGGGACCCCTCCAAGGCTGTCAAGGTGATGACCACACCATCCTCCACCTTCCCACTGAGGTTGCCCTTAGGTCATCCCAGTTTCTCTCCCTTCTCCTTCATCCAGTCAAGCTAACTCCAGGTGTAGCTCCCTGAGATCCGCAGGACTCCCCAACTCTTTCAGAGTCCAGTCACCCAGAGATGCAATCTCACTCACCTCCCACCTGACATGGGTGTGGGGTCTCCTCTGCATCTGCTTGTGCACCACTCCTGGTCACCACCTCCGTCCCCACTGTGGTCTTTGCTGACTGCCTCAGTAAAGGGGGAAGCAGTGTGGTGATGAGCAGAAAGCAGGTCTTTAGAGCAGCCCAGGTGTGAATCCTGTGGAGCTCTCTCTCTCTCTGCTCCCCAAATTCCTCATCTGTGAAAATGCAGGTGCTAATGTCTACTCCCAAATGAAGCGTTGGTGTCATCCCGGTGTGCTTGGAACAGTGTCTGGCACACACTGGTAAGGGCATCTTAATAGATGAATGCCTGAATGAGAGAGACAGTGCATGTGGGGTGTCTGGCACCTCCACACCGCAGAATGTTTTTTTTTTATTTTTAATTTATTTTTAATTTTTATTATAAAGATCTGGGGTACATTTCAGGATTAGGTATATAAACATTGATCATGCAGGTACCCATGTTGATGAGGTATGCCCCGCCCTCCCCTAGCAGTTTCCCTCTTTATATAAGTGTAGAAATAACAAGCAGGGAGAGGTAACCAACATTCCTCCCCAGGATCTCTGCCCCTTTGTCCTTCCTGCATCCCATCAGCCACACTTCCTGGGCTCGTTGCCCCAGGGGAGGAGTGAGATGGAGCATAAAGCAAAAAATAGCATGTGAGTCTTTTCCTGGCTTTCACTTCCAAAAGCCCTGGTGGAAAATACCTTGCCATGAGCAAGGACAAAAAAGGTAAGAAGTGGGACTTGGTGGGGGAGTGGGATTTCTCCCAGAACCAGGAGGGACAAAGGGGACAAGGATGAGCACAGAGGCAGGGAAGTCCACAGGGAGAGGACGACCGAAGCTCTGAGGGAGGAGGTGCTTCTGCAAAGCCACAGTCTGGAAGAGATGCGTTCAGTGCTCGCTGACAGCCCAGCGCTTCTGGGGTAAGTACCCACTCACCATCGTCTGCCAGGATCCCTGCGGGGGATCCACAAAGGGCCAGGGGCCACCTGGGTACTAAGTCATTGCTTGACTTTCACCCAGGTACTGCATTCACTGCTTGCTACTCTGAGGGCTCAAACCAGCTGACCCGCCTATGAGGGTCCCTGAGGATGTCCTGTGAGGGCAGCAGACCTGCTGTCAAATGTCCAGTGTGATGGGGCTTATCGTGCCTGAGATCAAACTTGTCGTCTTCCTGCTTACCCCATGGCGACATCCCCTTCCCAAGTCTCAAGAACCCCACTAGCCCAGGAGGAAGAGGCATGACAGTTCGGCGATACAATGGTCCCGCCCCTCTTAAAGGAGTAAAGAGTGCAATCAACCAATCCAGCAGAGATTCCCTCGAAGCAAGACCATCATGAAATGCGAGCCCACTACCAAAGTTGGTTTTTCTTTGGGAGATTCTTTCTCACAAATTTGCTTTAATCTCAGTGACCACCCGCTGGTCACCATTCCAACTTAAAGAATAACCCCTTCCCCAGGAAACTCCTTTTGTAACCAGGCTCGGTGGCTCAGCCTGTAATCCTTTGGGAGGCTGAGGTGAGTGGATTGCCTGAGTCTGTGGGTTCGAGACCCGCCTGGG